AATTACTTGGGCACTTTTAGGAAAATGCATAATAAGCAAATTCCTCAATTAAAGGATGTTATTTTCTATAAGGAAACTATGTAACCAAGTCCTTTGGTCCTCATCAGAACAATCASATGTCTGTCAATAATTTACCCTTGATGATTCCCATTGACTCTTGTMATGAATTAGGGACAAAGCAATTGATTATAAGTGGGCTGAAATAAAAATCAGGAACGTACTACATTAATGCACATGAGTTGTAGTTGCTTGGGATTTATTGTGCTTGATAAATAGTTTTATTTTCAAAGTCTACGTGTACCATGAAGCAATTAATTTCATCTGTGAGAAAGACCCAGATGGCCCTCAAGATAAGTCACTGAAACCTTTCCACAAAAATATAGGTGATTAGACCTCCAAATGACTTTTTTCTATATGTAGTTATTACATATTATTCAAATATGTTTACCAGCCAAGTGTTTATTTTTGAGGAACTAGAGTGGAGTTATCTATAAGTGCCTTCACCTACGTAGCAAGTCATAGATGATAGCAGCCATATAGATGATTATGAAACAATGAGGGAGAGAATATTGAAAAGCACTCACTAATGATTTTCAACAATGGCAAAATGAATGAGGACAGTAATGGAAATGAAAGAAAAGAAATGCCATTGAATACGTTTGTCTCAAAGTTATAACCGGACTGTAATAAAAAAATCTTTATTACACATCATTCAAGACATGAACAGTCCATGATAAGATAAAAARCATGATGCCTTAAAATGCAATAAGGTGTTTCTTCATTGATTTTTATTGCTGTTACTGTTTCCAGGGGCTTCAGAGAGAAAGTTTAGGGCCTGATTATGAATTTGATTCAATATTCTAGAAGTCCAGGCTCAACAATGGTGGGCCCCTGGCGTCAAGCCAGAGCTATGCAGTTTGTGGGGCAGGGTCAGGTGTCTGCTGATGGCCCAGGTCAGGAAGTGTGGTTAGAGAGGCAAGTCTAAGCTGGCCCAATCTTCCATGACCTTGAGGGCAGACCTCAGTGTTTCAGTGCAATTGTTCATCTTTATCTCCCCTACTAAGGACAGGACCAAGGTGATATTCATCATTTTATTCTCAGGACACGGGACAAAGTAGACTCTAGGTATATCTGTTGATGATGAAATGTAGTTTATCCCCATGTGTTTTATTACCCCCACTATAGTTTTCTTARTGTAATAGAGCTACTCTTTCGTCTTAGTTCTTGTATTTAAAAATAGTTTTTGCTTGTTTTTTTCCTTTTTCCTTCGAATCCTTCTAATTGCTTTGAATTCTGAACTTAGGGGCCCGAGATAATTTGCATAGTTGTTTCAGATCAAATGTTGTATCTCGMATCTTGCACTGACTCACAACCATTCACTGCTAATGTCTAAATCGGAGAAGTGAAAAGGACAATTGTTTAGTGCTTTTTAAAGTCCCTGACCAAGATCAGTAGGGAAATCCCATTAGCTCCATTCATCGCATTTCTCATAAATCTAAAAGGAAAGCAAGTATCCAAAGCCTTATTCTTTAATAGTTCTTATTTGTAAAACCTTGACAGGGCTTTATTCTAAATTGCTTCCAAATTACGTAAAGAATACTGAGAAATATGATGAGCAGTGAATCGTGATAACTTCAGCCATCGAGTAAATAAGTAGAACAGTAGAAGGGACTAATCTGAAAGCAAACATTATGATGGGCCACGAAGAAGCAAAAAGAACAGAACTGTGGAATTCTTAAACTACCATCTGGCTCAATCTTTCAGTGGGCAAGCTGAAGAGGCTTTTATTCAGCACTCTAAAACTTATTCAAAAGGAGCAGTATTTGAATATTAATATTTCCATATAATAAAAAAAGAAGAAAAAGGAAAAAGAAAATCTTTTGTAACCAAAAAGGAATGTTTAACAAAATAATGGGGTAATCCTCTGGCTAAAAAAAGGCCTGGGGAGAGTCCTGTGGGTGGGAGGTCTGCGGGCAGAGTGGCCCAGGCCATAGGCAGCTCTCAGCCTTCACCTCCAAAGCTTCCTTGCGGTTAGAGTCACTTATTAAAGTTGTCATTGTGGTTTGAAATTTAGGCAAGAGGTGTAAAATTAAGGAACTCATTAAGAAAAACAAATGCAATGATTTTGTTACCTTATTTCATCATAAAGAAGGTTGAATTGCCCTGTRATATAACTGAGGCAAGAGACATGATAGAGATTGTAAACTGTACTTGAAATTGTCCAATTGTCCTTTTGTGAAACATGAGCCTATTTCATCACTTTGGAACAGACCCCTAACAATTGCTGTTTTGTTTGTTAAGCCCTGGATTTTTAAATGAATTGTGAGGCTTTTATTTTGTTTTCCTGAGGTGTGTTTGAAAAGTTGGATAAATATGAGTCCACTATTTATCTTGAGCAAAGATGCATTAGAAAAAGGTATTTTAGCATTCTCCATGGTTTAAAAGACAAAACCAAGTCCTGCCGGCTTTGTGTTGTGCTTCTCTTAMAGGCTGCAGTGCCTTCTGTCTGCTTTAGGGTGTGGCATCTGCCATTGGGGAGGAAAAACTGGCATGTGTCCCCTTTTATAGCAGACTGATTTCATTGTGTGGGGGCTTTTTTTTCCACTTGGTTGCAATCTTCCAGTTGACTTGCTGAAGCAATAGAATTAAATGAGATTTCAACTTACATACTTTTTTTTTTTTAGTTTTGTCATTTTCTGATATTTAAAAAATATTTGTAAGCAAAGGGCTAGAGCTGAACTTGGTGACTCACTTTCCCTTTTAGGATTTGTTATGAAAATAAGTGGCAACACATGGCTACCCTTGTATGAATTGACTTTTGATATATTTATCAATTTGAAAAAATGCACTTTTATGAGTATATGCATATAATTTGACTATAAATGTCTAAAATACAAATGTGTAATCGATTTTAGAATATATGTATAGACACACATAACACGTATATTTATATTTGCATATGAAAAACTTTAAAAATTCAAGTTATGTGGTGTAACATGTATAATCAGTATGTATATGAATATATAAAAAGAGAAAATTCAGGAAAAAAATGTCAGACAGACATACTAACAAAGATGTAGTATTCTCCTGGCAAAAACTGATGAATGATTTGGCATGAATTCATCTTACAGTTCTGCTATTCTCTCTTACAAATGATATACCCCATTTTCCAGTTGTTTGCATAGAATTGCAATTTGTTGTTTCTACACTCCATAATGACCCTTGGGTGTGCACCTGATTCCCCCTCCCCACCAATTAGTCAATACCTTTTCCATCTATCTTTTCTATTTAGTTGTGTAACACATTGGAGCTTAAACTAGCAAACAACCACTGTACTTGCAATCAACTAGGTTTTATGAAAAGCTGAAGAATGAAATGATTTTGGAAAACTACCCTGTACTAAAATCTTACATATTATTTCTGTCAGCATGACCTCTGGGAGCTCAAATGCTTTCTCTCAATGACAAAGGTGCCCATCTAAGTACAACTGAGCCAGTGCTTATGTAACAAGTCTTGCTATTAAAGATCTTCAAAATGTTGCTAGTGATAGATTCTTAATAAAAAACGTCAAAACATTATTTGGTGATAAAACAACAGATTATTTTTTTAGAGATCAAGGCACAGAGTATATCTAGTTTAGGATTAGATTTGACTATCATTACTGATCTTATATTTATTAAATATAATGTCTATTTTGTTTTATTTAGAAATGAACTCACATCAAGAGGTTAATTGCACATATTAACCCCTGAAATATAACGAAAAGGGTCATGTGGATTTATGAAGATATGAGATAAAACTTAGCTGTCCCTATTAGGGCACCAGTAGTTAAACGTTAGTGTGGGGTGCATGACACACCACTCTACACATTGTGAGGACATCRAAGTGCAATGTAAGAAAAACACTCTTCTGGGAATACTTTGAGTTTCATACCTACTCCAGGTGCTTTAACAAGAGTTATATAAACATTACCTATGGGGCAGTTGTAGTCAAATCTTAAGCATTTATTGAGCTCCTGCTGTGTACAGGGCATAGAGCTCTTGGAACACGGCTAACCTTCACTTACAGTCGTCCCTAACGTTGCAATTGGAAGAAGTTGTGAGAATTAGCTGATGGCTCAAACTCAAGGCACGGAGGCCAACGCTGTGGGAAAATTACATAACTCCTGGGAGAGACAGTGCTTTTGCTCAGACTGCCCAAATATTTTCTTTCTCTGCCGGCTGCTCGAAACCTCCGAGGCCATTGGAGAACTTTGTCCCCAGCCCCTCTCGCTCTTTTGTCTGCTCGTCAGACTCCTTTTCCGCCTGGGTCTCGCTCCTCGCAGACGCGAACGTCAACGCCGCCGCCGACGCCGCCGCCTCCGGCCAGGAGGCCCGCGCGAGCCAGCGCGCAGCCCGGCCGCCCGCCGCCGGACCCGAGCGCCGCCGCGGCCCGACCCGGGCTGCCGGTGGGTCCCCGCGAGGCAGCGCCGGGCGGCGGCGCCCGGGGCCGAGTCCAGTCCGCGTTTTGCGAGTGCGCAGGAGTAATCGGAGAGAAGTGGATAATAGTTGTGGCTCGCTCGCTCCCCGCGTGCCGCGCTGGGCCCGCAGGCTCGGGCGGCCGCGTATTTACCCGTATCCGGGTTAGGGAGGAAAAGAGAAAAGTTTCATTTAAACCTGAACCCCAAACTTTCACCGTGAAAGCACACAGCGGGAGCTGGCCCAGACCGTAAGGCGTGCCCGCGCGGCTCCCGCGGGCCTGCAGAGGGGGAGGGGGTCGGCGGCGTCCCGGCGGGCCGCGTGGATGCGCGCAGGAGGGGCCGCGGACTAAAAAGTGGGGGCATTGTCTCCCCCCGCCCCCCGCCCGGCCGYGCCACGCCGCGGCGATCATGGCCGCGCGGGCAGCAGCGGCGGCGGCGGCACGGGCGGGCAGCGGTGAGCGGCGGGCGCCCCCCGGGCCGCGGCCGGCGCCCGGGGCCCGGGACCTGGAGGCGGGGGCGCGCGGCGCGGCGGCGGCTCCGGGACCCATGCTGGGGGGCGGCGGCGACGGCGGCCTGAACAGTGTACACCACCATCCCCTGCACCCCCGTCACGAACTGAACATGGCCCATAGCGCGAGCGCCGCGGCCGCCGCCGCCAGYACTAACAGCGCCAAGAGCGGCGGCTCCGAGGCGGCTCTCAAGGAGGGTGGAAGCGCCGCCGCGCTGTCCTCCTCCTCCTCCGCGGCGGCGGCGTCCTCCTCTTCCTCCTCGTCGGGCCCGGGCTCGGCCATGGAGACGGGGCTGCTCCCCAACCACAAACTGAAAGCCGTTGGCGAGGCCCCCGCCGCACCGCCCCACCAGCAGCACCACCACCACCACCATGCCCACCACC